TGTACCTTGCCAAGCTGGCCGAGCAGGCCGAGCGCTACGACGGTAAGTTTCTGCCGCCACTGCTCTGCAGAGGGTGGTCCTATTTATAGACGAGGGGCGCTTTGTGCCATTTTGCATGTGACTCAAGCTTCATGGATGTAGAGATGGTCGAGAGCATGAAGAAGGTTGCTGCCGAGGAGCAGGAGCTGTCTGTCGAGGAGCGCAACCTGCTGTCGGTTGCTTACAAGAACGTGATCGGCGCGCGGCGGGCGTCGTGGCGCATCATCTCGTCAATCGAGCAGAAGGAGTCATCGAAGGGCAACACTGAGCACGTCGAGATTGTGGCGAAGCAGCGCAAGGTGGTTGAGAAGGAGCTGGCAGACATCTGCAAGGACATCCTGGCCGTGCTGGACTCGAGCCTGATTGGCAGTGCGTCGACCGGCGAGTCGAAGGTCTTCTACCTGAAGATGAAGGGCGACTACTACCGCTACCTGGCCGAGTTCGAGACCGACTCGGCGCGCAAGGACGCATCGGATAAGTCGCTGGAGGCGTACAAGCAGGCGTCGGAGACGGCCACGGCGGAGCTGGCGCCGACCCATCCGATCCGGCTGGGCCTGGCCCTCAACTTCTCGGTGTTCTACTACGAGATCTTCAACTCTCCCGAGCGCGCGTGCCACCTGGCGAAGCAGGCATTCGATGATGCTATTGCCGAGCTCGACACATTGTCTGAGGACTCGTACAAGGACTCGACGCTGATCATGCAGCTGCTGCGGGACAACCTGACGCTGTGGACCTCGGATATCCAGGACTCTACCGACGCCGCGCCCAAGGACGGTGCCGAGGAGCCTGAGGACAAGGCCGAGGAGAAGACTGAGGCGTAAATGTTTCTTGTTTCACTTTTTTATTCCTAATACAAAGGATTCCTATCCCTTTTTCTTTTTTCCGACAATGCACTGTGAAGGCTTCTGCATTGCCTGATGCATGGCTGTGTGGATCTCCCTCGCAGCGCTTGTGGCCAGCCACAGCGGGACCACCAGCCAGGGGGCGTTCATGGCATAAAAGTACCCGTAGTAGTAGAGTGGCTCCGGGCGGCAGCTTGACTCGCGGGCAATGATCTCTGTAGCAAAGTACAGCACCACCGAGTACATATGGAGCACGCTTGCCACCAGCTGCGCAAGCCAGCGCACAGGCGAGTCTCTGCAAATCCCAATCACCACCAGCCAGCAGAGCGGCCCCACGACTACAACCGTGACTGACTCCAGCGCACCAACCATCGACGACTGCGTGAGATACCGGCTGTCGCTTTTTGCATACTCCTTCCAGAGGCTGGCCATGATGTCAGTGCTTTCCGGCAGCGCTGTGAACTGAGCTAGGTAGTAGAGCTCAAAAACACAGTGCAGGGAGCCGCACAGAACAAACCACTGTGCTGTCAGCATAGTGGGAGCGCGGCAGTGGAAGCGGACGCAGCACCAGGATGTAGGAGAGGAGGAGGACCAGTGCGAGCGCCGTGCCGATGGTGCATACCAGGGTCAGCGGGTGCTGCGTGGGGGCCACGTATGTGTCCATGGCCAGCGACAGCGGGTAGTATGGATGAGATGTTGTCATTGTTTGTGGGTGAGAGATGCAGAGTTTTCGGATTGTCCACAGCGAACTGCATGCTATTGCAAGTCCAGCTCAACAAAGAGAAATAAACATAATTTCCAAATCCCCCCCAGCAGGAGCACTGGATTGAATCACGAATGCCTTTCAACACATGCCAACCAACAAGTATATCACCAAATGAAAGCTACGACGGGAAGCATCTACTGGTTCTCACTGCGAGGGGAGCGGAGGGGGCGGTGAGCATAGATTCTCTGCAGGTGCTTCATGTGTAAAGAGAAATAGAAGGAGCTGCGAGGGTAATATGATGCCTCCGCAAGCCATCTTTTTGTGCTTTTGAATGTGATCTAATGAAGAGGGGTTTTGTGAGAAAGGAATAGCTTTGCATGCTGTAGAAACGACCAAAATGCAGCGAGGTGTGTGTGCGACTGGTCGTCTTTTTATATGTAGACAGAGTCTGTCACGCTACGTCGTTTGGCTGATACATTGCTGACAGGCTCGATGTTCTTGCAGCAGCTGAAGGATACGCCGATGTTATCTTGGGCTGGGAGAATAGGGAATGCAGTGGTTGATTACAAAGTTATATTAGTGCAAGTACAGAAAGAGATGGTCGCTAGAAATGTGGGGGGTATCAAATGTGTCCGGTGATCTCGTACTCGATGTCGAGGTCCAGCTCCAGCACGTCCTTGTAGCAGATGAGACGCTGCTCTGCCAGGTAAAGGTCCTTCAGGGTCTCGCGGACGGCCTGGGCATGCTGGACAACGCGGGCCTTGCCCTGTCTGGTCAGGGGCACAAGCACGGCGAGCTGCTTGAAGAGGCGCAGGGAGCGGGCAAGCTTCTGGTCGAGATCAGCGAGCTTCTTGTCGAGCTTCTCGAGACGGGCCTCAAGGCGCTCGATGCGGGCAGGGTGGACCTGGCCGGCGGTGCGCCTGGCAATCTCCATGGTCTTGGAAGGCGGCGGCGCAGTTGATATGGGCCATCCACTCGGCGACGCTATCGTCGCCGGGGGGCCTTGACCAGAATCTGGCTGCCGTCGCCGGCGAGAATGCGGAAGACATGCGGGTATTTGTCGTAGGCCTTGTCGACGACCGCCACGCCATGGCGCAAAGGCACGACGGTCTGCACGGCCAGCGGGCGCGAGTGGTCGTCGGCCAGACGGAAAAAGTACAGGCGGCTGCCGCTAAGCACCATCCAGATTTCCTTCCACCAGCGCACGAGCCCGCGGCGGCCATTGCCGTGGCGGTCCATTTTGCGGAACACGCGGCCAGCCATGTCAACACGCAGCAACGCCGTGCCGGTGGGGTCGGGCTGCGGGCTGCCAGGCGTCTCGTAGATGACGCCGGAGATTGGCCGGCCGGTGCGCAGTGACGTGCGCCGCTTGACGTGCGATTTGAGCCCGCTGAGCCGGATCGACTCGACCTTGGGCGGCTCGCAGGCTCCACCAATGGCACGGTGGGCGAGACCGGCGACGCGGATGGCTCGTCCAGGCGCAACGTGTGGCCGTCCAGCGCGTCGTCGGGAGAGCTGGCGCTGGGGCGGCGCGGCTGGCGGCCGGGCAAGGTGTACGAGTACTGCTCCTTGCTGGGCAGGTCGGTGGGCGAGAGCGGGCGGGGCGGCGCCGAGAACATGCGCTTGAACCAGGCGCCGATGCCGGAGGCTCCGTCGGCCGACGGCGGGCGCGTGACGCCGGGCGCGTATTCGAACTGCGCCACGGTGACGTTGTCGTAGAGGATGTCGAGCACGGGCTCGAAGATCTCGCCCTGGTCGTCCATCAGCTGAGCGCGCGCAATGAACTGCGGCTTGGTGATCTTGGTGCGCACCTTGGGGTTGTGGGCGTCGGTGTGCAGCAGCAGCAGCGCGAAGGCATATGCGTAGACCGTGTCGGCCGAGAAGAACAGGCCTGGGTTGCATGCGTGGTAGCGCGTGGCGAATGCCGTCATGACTCGGTCGATCTGCTGCGACTCGCGTTGGCAGGTGCAGCTCGCGCAGCAGCTGCCGCAGCGCAAAGTCGATCGGCCGCTCGCTGAAGCCGAGCCGCTGCATGTACGCTGCCAGCAGCGTCTGCCGCGAGGGGTCGGCCAGGAACTCGCCCAGCTTGCCCGCACCCACGCCGGCCACGGCCGCATCGAGCTGCGCCTGCATGTCTGCGCTCTGCGGCTCGGGTGGCTCCAGTGCTGTCCTGGGGCTGTCGGCGGCGAAAATCGTGCCTTCAAATAGCTCCTCGACAGGCTCCTCCTCCTTTTCCTCCCCCTTTCCTGGCAGCAGCTCCTCGGCGGCCGTCGTCGCGTCGGAGGCTGGGCGAGATCTCGGGCAAGGCGAGCTGCACCGAGTCTGCAAAGTCGGAGCCGTTGATGTCCAGGCGCGGCAGCTCCACCGGGTGCTCGGAGAGCAGTTCGGGGCAAACAGGTGCTGGTTCTCATGCAGCATTCGCGTCCAGCGCTTCTCAGCCCGTGCGAGCCGCGGCTCCTCCTCCTCGGCAATGCCGGCCAGGGCGCTGGTCAGGTCGTCGTCGCTGCCCATCAGACTCTCGTACTCGGCAAACAGCCGCGACCGGTGCGCGTCGTCGGCGCGACAGCAGATAAGTGCGCGTGGTCGGCCGCCGAGCCATCTGCCAGAGAGCCGGCGCGCCGCGCCTGCACTGTGTGCGGGCGCTGGGGCTCGGCTCCCGACTCGTTGAACAGGCTGAATGCGAAGCTGTGGTGGGTTCGGGACGCATGGATTCCTGGCTGCTGGCGCAGCTGCTGGTTGTGGGGGGCCGTGACTCGGCGCGAGCGCTGCCAAATGCTGACTGGGGCAGGCGGTTGTGTGTGGTAGCTGGGCGCTGGCGGGCGGCCTCGATGGCCAGCGGCGCCAGCACAGGCAGCGGCGGGGCATTGCCGGACGCCGACACTGAAATGCCCAGCCCGTTGGTGCGTGTGGTGGCCGACCGCTGCAGGCTGCTAAGCCCGGCTGCCTCGCGCAGAATGCTATCCACACGCGACAGCGACTTGGCATGGATCTCGCGCCATTCCTTGTACTGCGCCCCGTGCTGCCGCTGCATGTTGGTCTGCGGCCGCGCCTGTCTGTGAGATGCGCTGGTCTGCGCCCGCCGCGGCACCTCCTGCGTCTCTGCTGCCAAACCGCCTGTTACGTCTGTAGTCAGTGGCCTGTTTGCCGGCCCCGTACACTCGCGATCCTCTAGGTTTTGCGTGCATATGGTCTGTGGCCGATGCGCAGCTGCAGCGCTAGTTTGTGGCCGATGCGGTGTTGCAGTACTGGTCTGCGGCCGATGTGCGCTGGCATGTTGGTTTGTAGGCTACACGCCGGCTGCTGCGTTGTCGCTGTGCTCGACTGTGGCCGCAGGTCAATAGATGCCCGTCCGCTCCCCACCCCGCTCGCCATCCAGTCTTCCAGCATACTGGTTGACGGAAGAAACAACTGTCTGCGCCCGGTCGCTGTGCTGCCGGTGCACCAACCACCAGCCTGCTCAGCAGACGTCCGTCCCGTAGTCTAGCTCAATCGGCTCCCAGTCCTCCAGCATGCTGGCTGCGACGGCAGGACGATCGTCTGCGGCCCGCGCCGCATTGCCCTGTGCCCGCCGCTGCATCACCGTGCTTGTGATTGGCCGCCGCAACACCTCTGCTGCCGGTACATCCACCACTGTCTCCGCACTGGCGTGGTCTCCTGAATCCCGGCTGCCGTCCGACTCGGTTTTCTTCTTCCTCCAGCACATCCTCTTCCTCTTCTTCTTCTTCCTCAAGGCACGTCCTCTCCTCTTCCTCTTCCTCTTCCACTGCCACCAGCGACCCATGCTCATCAGCTGGCTCTGTTGTGTCTATTTCATCCAGCGATACTGATTGCCGGGCAATCTCCTCGCCCTTCTCCACGCTCCGCCGGCCTTGCTCTTCTTCCCGCTGCCGCTGCCGCTGCTGGTGTATCGCTACTAGCGACCGCCGGTTGGCCGTCCTGATGGCTGTCTGCGGGTAGATCCGCGTTCGCAGTGCGTGCGATGTCGGTCTTAACACTGCCGGGCTGATTGTGTCCACGGTCTTGTATGCATTGGGCACCGCCACCTGCGGCGCCCGCGGCTGCACCTGCACCGGCGTCAGCCGCGAATTATAATATCCCTGGGGTGCCGCCTGCTTGCGCGGTGGTCTCCGTGAGTGTTCCGTCGTCCCCATCGTATGTAAAATATCGGTAGGATATACCACTAAGGTGCAGAAGAAGAGAAAAAATGGACGGGTCGCGAAAAGCCAGATTAGAAAAAAAGAAAAAGGAGGCGCAAAACGGTAATGTCCTAGAGACGGGTACTCCCCAAAAAAACTTAAACGCAAGGGCGGTTTTGCGACCTTCGTGAAGAAGCCGTCTCTGCATCCAATCAATGCGTGAAAAACAACGTATACTGGTGTGCACACAGATTCTGCCCTGTGTTGCCTAGTACATGTCCTCTTTCCCAGGATACACAGTCCTCGTTTCGCCCAGTGGTATCCCCCTGTGTACTCCTCACATTCCCAGCTCTAGATGCTCTTGGCAAATCGAGGAACAGGCGCTTTTCTTCGGGGTTTCTTTCAAAAAACAAACATCTTCGGCACTCTACTAACTGCTACTGCCTCCCACGCTGCATTGCAAGAAAAAAAGCAAACTTACCGAATACCGCTTCATTGCCTCCTGCTGGCTTGGCCGCCGCGGCCGCCGCGCCTGTGCTCTGGATGCCGTCGCTGGACGTCCATATGCACCCGGTCCTGTGCGCACAATTGAGCTCACGTCCATTTGTATGCTTACTGTCTTGCTAGGATACTGCAGCTGTCAAGAGCGATGGTGCCAAAAGAGTATTAACAAAATATGTAACAAAAAATAACAAAGACAAAAAAGTAGCATGTGGGCTCCGACCTGTTTCTCTGTGCTTTGCAAGAAACCCGGTGACGGGGGGAGGGGAGGGAAGTTTTTCTTTTGCACGAGAAATAAAGTGTGTAGTGCGTACCTGCTAATCCTCTTTGCAATAAAAAAGCTGGTCTGGTCCTGGACTAAAACCAGGACCGATGCATGAAGAAAAAATACCAATATTTCTTCGAACCGCGCTCAGTTGCTATTAATACTTTGCGGTCCTGCGCTTTGTCACGAGCGCTTCGGTCCTAGAGTAAGTTTTTTAAAATTTTCCTTTCAGAAAAAATAAACAAAGGGCAAATCTCTTTATTAGCTTTCGGCGAAATTGCGATTTTCGATGCAGCCACCCAAGGGCTAACATCACAGCATACCACGAATATAGCAGAAGCCAAATGGGACAGCATATCTCCTCTCCCCTCAAATGCACGCATCTGCATGACATCACTACGCCCGAAACACATGCACAATGCGCGCAATGTGCTCGCGCATATCGGGCACTCCTTGCGCTCGGACTTGAATATCTGCTCGCCGCACTCCAGACACGTACACATGTGCCCGCAGTTCAGGAACACGCAGTTGGTGGCCTCGTCCCAGCAGATCTTGCACAGATCGTTGTCATTGCTCTCGCGCCCCATTTCCAGCCGCGTATTAGCCACCAGCCGCTCGACCCGCTCCACCAGCTCGTGCTTCTCCACAATGTGTGTGTAGTCCACGCGGTGCTTGTGCAGCAGTAGCTTCAGCTGCTTTGCGCTCAGTGTGCTGACATCGGTGTTGTCGTTCACTAGGTCCTTTATCTCAGGGATCACTACTGCTTTAGCTGCTGGCTTTGCTGGCTGTGATTTCGGTCGAGTTGCCGGTTGAGTTGCCGGTCGGGCTGCTGGTTTGGGCTGCCGGCTGAGCTGGGCCCTGGGCCGATCTCGGCCGCGACTGTGGCTCCGGCCGGGGGCTGCTGCCGTGGGGGCTGGCGCGGGTGGGCGGGGCGCGACCTCGGGAAGGTATTGGAGTCGTAGGCTGGCACTTGCTCGTAGGTACCGCCGCCGTGGGAGCGCCTTGACTGATCCTCATCAAACAGGCTTTCAAACTGCTGGCCTATATTGGCCATCCCCCGGCCAATGTCCTCGCCAATGCTCGAGAACATCTGATCCCAGTTGCCACTCGATCCACGTGGCTGCTCCCGGCTGTGTGTGGCGGCGGACGGGCGCGGCAGCGAGTTGCGGTACTTTACTTCGTTCATCTGGGGCATCGGGGAGTGGCTGTAAATGGCAGCTACGAGATCGGTCTTTTCAAGCATCCGGCGTGGATTGTACAGGCCATAGAGCTGCAGATACAAGCGTAGGTCGCGAATTGGCGCACTGTTCCAGCTCCGACTTGCTACGAATCGACAGGCGCAGGTTGCGGTCACACGTTTGTGCAGCAGCTGACGGGCGTGCTTAGTCCGTATTTTGGCAGGTACCATTTGTTCTTGTTGCAGTCCGAGCATACAACCTGCCCTACGCTTGAGGAGAGAAAATAAGCGTTTAGGGGTTTCCCTTCCTCGTTCATCTAGGTTGTGCATTCTTGGGGTGCATATAAATAATCCCAGGTGTCTGTTTTGGAGCACTTACCGCAGTTGACACAGTTGTGCTACATGGAGAGAGTGTGGGAGAGAGCAATAAAAATAGCCAAGGCACCGGCAGGTTCGCCCCGGCATAGGTGCCCGAGAGTCGGGTAAGAGGGGTTAGCCAAACTACTGACGAAGAGAAGGGGCTCCATCACCACCCCGGTTGAAATGCGGAGAGAACAAAGTGACTATACCTTGCGTCTCAATAGGTTGAACGTGAGCCCACACCCGGGCATGCCGAATACAGGTTCTTTTCCAACGGCACTGCTAGCTCATACGTCTGGCTGTTTGCGTCCCGCATTGGCCCATTCAGCTGCCGCAATGCGTGCTCGACGGTTGATGGCAGGCTGTCCGACGTTGCTGGAAATGGCAGTGCCTCCAAGTGTGACATTTGTTGTCTAATAGTACAAGAGTAGAAATGTAGTGGGATTCGTGTCCAAGAAGCTGTAAATTGGGTAAAGAAAAAGCGAGGGTGCAGGACACAATCCAGAAATCAGCCATTCTAGGCACGTGTGGTGCCCAGGATTACTTGGCGATGGCTTGAGCCCCCATTGCGGTCTGGCAGGCGTCAGTTGTTTCGAGAAAGTTCACTGATATTAGTCATCGCTGCGCGGAGGTTCCCAGACGGTGTCCAGGATAGCAGCACCTGGGACTCCGCCGCCCGCCCTGTGCTTGCAGCGCTGGCCACAGTTGAAGAAAAAAGAAAAAATAAAACGTATGTGGAACAAAGGAATCAAAACTGGAGCCCTGCAGGCTTGCAAGACAAGGCTCTCTCCATTCCCAGCTATCGCGAGACATGTATCCAGGGTGGTGTTTTGTCGGGGGCAGATCCAGACCAGTTCTTTTCTTCCTCTCCTGGCATGTTTCACAGCCTTGTAAATATCATTGTGTGATGCGCAGAGAGAGAGAGGTGGGGTCAGAACGTGGGTTATGCGAAAAAGGGTGTGTGGGGGATGCGGATTTGATCGGCGAGCCCACTCAGCAGTGGTTGTCGAGCAAAATACGTCTCATTTTAGTACTATTCCGACACACTATATGGCCCATGGTGGGCATGTCTCAATGCTGCCCGCTTGGAGGGACCGCCGTTCTATTTGGTGCGTGGTTCATTGGTACATATTTTCGTGCATAAAGTGGTTGTTTTTTTTTGCAGTATTGGTTGAACAGTCCGGGCATTCACACCAGTCAATTTTTCGGTCATTCTAGTCCACCCCAATGCCCGTTGCGCTTGCCCCCCCGAGAGTCAAAATGTGAGTGCATTGGAGTCGTGCTTGTTTCTCCACAATTTTTCCTCGCGCTTGGCATCCCCTATTCTCTTCTCCATTCCTACCTCTTCCTTTTCTCTTTCCCATTTTTTGCAATTTTATAGCCACCCAATACTGGGATATTCCTGATACAATATTGAGTTTTTAATATTCTCACAACCTAAACCTACATTTCACCCTGCACCAGTTGCTGGCACAAAGAGCATATTGATCCAACGTGCAATACTTTTTGCCAGTATAGGGTTTCATCTATTGCCGATTATTCCCAACTAAGCGGTATCTGATTTCACGCACGTCATTTCGGGAGGGAGTCATAGGATAGTTCCAGTAGGCAATATTCCCGACGCCACGCTGCAAGCTTTTTCCTTCCTCATTTCCCTTTTTCTTCACGCTTTAGTTTATTCTTCTCTTTTTCAATTCTTTCTCTTATCCACACGCCATTGCCGCAGGAAGACCGGGGGTGAGGCCACACAGAAACGTGCGTCAATCCGAAGCTGATATATCTTCAGGTAAGAGCAAGAGAATCATTGAGGGGGAGGTGCGTGTATCGGATCACTTGGTGACAGAGACGGGAGGCGGAGAGGAATGGGGGAGCTGGCAAGAAAAAGCTCGGTGGGATGAGGGCAGTTACGGCCATCTCCAATACTCGCTAAATATTTTTAACCCTGGGATGATACAGCACAGCCCAATTGCCCATCTGGCAGGAGGGAAGGAGGAAGGGGGAGTGAATGGAGGAATGTGGGGAACATGGGTCTTTTTTCCCTCGCCCTTTATTTCCCTATTGAAATTTCTCTTGCACGTTACTAGCTTGTAAGATGATGTTTTTGGACGCCTGGCAGATAATGAAGGCGAAATTGCATGTTGCGCACAAAGGCAGGAAAACCCACCGTAAACACGTAGAGCAGCCCCCGCTAACGCATTTGTCCCTGGTACAATGCTTCTTGTTCTTTATTTTTTGTTCACGTAGCATTATATCCTACAAGGAGATTGTCCTTTCCATAGCTCATGACCTGCATGTCGGGGAGAACGCATGCAAGCAGCATCCGCGCGCTGCCGCAGCCAGCAAGCGAGAATGCAGTTACTGCGCGGGTGCCGTTAAGAATCAGCACGAGCAACCTGCGAGCAATGCCGTCGAGCACCCGCACACCTCAGACTCACCACACACCAAGGCAGGCATGGGGCGCTCGATATCGACGATCCAGGAGCTGGACAAAGCCAGTTTCGAGCAGCACTTGGCGCAGCTTCTGTCCGAGGACACAACGCCGACGGCCCTGCGCGCAGCACACGGCATGTTGCGTGGATTCAATGGGCCGCCCATACGCAAGGAGAGCGCTGGGGTTCAGTACAGTGTGGCGGGCAGCCCGGCAAGCGAGGGAAGCAGCGACAAGCGCGAGTACGTATTGCGGGAACTGTGGGAGACCGAGGAGCTGTTTGTGTTGGATCTGAAGCTGATTCTGGCAGCGTTCGTGGTGCCGCTGTGCGAGCACGCGCGGCTTCCGAGCGTCCAGGGGGTGTCGTATGCGGTGCAGGTTCTGTTCACGTTCCAGCACCGGTTCCTACGGGCACTGGAGCGCGGGCGCTCGGTGCGCTCGGTGGCGAAGCTGT